TTCACTGAAGGGCATTGATGACTGATGGGTACATTTCATGAACTGCTAAGCGTTATCTAAGTTATCCAGATGGGACAGCTGGCTGTGGTTAAAGAAGGTAATACCATTCCATTTAATGAGGAGGCGCTACCAGAAAAGTCACCTTCTTTGGGGGGCAAAAAGCAAGTCTCCATAACATAAATCATTTAAATTTTGTGGGATGGTTTGGTTTAGATTAGGAATTAGGTAAACAGTAAAAATGGTTAGTTTTAGTGTGTATCTCCAGGAAATGGATGACAAATTTAAGGAAAAACCGGAGTTATTGAGTGGAGAAACACAACAAATACAAACGTTTTCACAGACGTTAAATTGACTTCTTGATGTTTTGAGGGGGTTTGCTCTGTCCTCATTGTAAGCAGTCAGTCATTATTGACTCGTAGATGCCAAAAGATGAAAACTAAAAATTATGCTCATTCTAATGACCTTTCCTTCCTGTCTATATTTTTCTGTCCGCTTTTTCACAGAGGCAAATGTTTGGTCCATTGTATCGAAGGGTTACATCTCTGGCCTCTTGCGACTTTACGAGGACTGGCACAACAAGGATACTCAACATGTTGCCATATCAATCCGCCATGCATTGCTGTGCTGTCTCCATAACGCAACCCAGAGTACTGCAGGCAGACAGGCTTTCATATCCCAGGGGGGCATCAGACTGCTGTACCAGACTACACAGGTAAGTTCAAATCACTCCTAACTAGGCCAACAATATTCAGTCTAAGTGGTTCCAGTAAGGAGTTGCACAGTGGGCCAATGGCTAGTACTGTTGCCTCACAGCTTGAAGGTCTTTGGAGTTTGCATGGTCTCCTTTTGCCTGTGTGAGTTCTCATCGGTGGTGTGAATGGGAGTGTGTTTGGTTGTCTGTCTCTATGTGTAGCCCTGCAATTCGCCCTAAGTCAGCTGGGATAGGCTCCAGCATGACCCTACAGAGGAATAAGCAGTGTATAGAAAATGAATGAATGGATGCACTGAGTCGGGCTCTTTTATGTGTGTGTCAGTATGTGAGATACCTGCATAGATACAAGTGGCCTTCATCATTGTAAAAGCCATCATTGTAGAAAAACAAGGGTTTTGTAGATCAACACCAAAGATCTTTGCCCAAATGGTGAAGTCTAATGTATCACAAGAACATATATGAAGACATATGGACCAGAAGTGAGGTTACATCCATTATGTCTATTTTCTATATACTGCTTTACATCGTCAGGTTGCATAATGTGAAACCAACATTTAACATTACAACATTACTAACATTAAATTTGAAATACTGTTGTAGGTATATTGTATACATCCTACTCACTGGGCCAGCATGACTCCTCCTTATAACTGATTCTTATTATTATAGATATGGAAACCAATGTAACAGTACTTTTTGGTGAACCGTCGGTGGTGTTGACACACGTGGATTCAATCAGCAGTAAGATGCTCAACAAAACTTATCATCAGACTAGCTTCTTTGAAATATAAATCATTGCTCAGAGCTGGGTACTTTAGTTCACCGTGCACTTACATAAGTCAGTGTTCAGTCAACTTACTTATAAATCTAACCTATAACATGACTGCAACCACTTTACGTGCCTACTGAACAGCTGAATAAACTGAATAATGCACTCGGAGATGTCCTGATTCAGAAAACAGTTTATTTTACCTTGTTGGTCTTATGATGTCACCTTTCATTGTGTATTTTTGTAAATCACATGTACATGTTTACATTAACAGCATTCATAAGTGCTTGTCTCGTGAAAGGAATTGCAGAGGTGCAAGGGTCATCAGTGTCACATGAACTTGTTTTCTCTTTCTTTCCACACCCCTACTTGAACTCTACCCATTAACACAACATTTATAGTAAGCACAGGTTAGTGTAAGTGTCATCTTATTAATTAAGAGCTGCGATCACACTCCAGATCTATCTCAGGCTTCTGTCTGGCAGCAAAGACTTTCTTTGTTCTTTCTTTGTTCTTTCTTTGACTGCCACTAGCAACAATTTAGACTGAGAAAACTTAACTTTGTTTCAGTACTAAGTAATTACTATAGTTATAACCAATACTTTTCACAGCAAGTTCCCCAGTGTTTAAAGTAGTGGAAAACAGCCTACATCATACATGTGGACTTAAATACAACCCTGTTGACCAGCCAGGACAACGCAACAGAAAATTCCACCACATCTCTGAAACAGCGCAATGCAAATCAGTGGAAAAGTTGGACTCACACATGGCTAGTTGGTTGCAAGTGCAATTATATAGTTGGTTGTGCACACATAGCAATGGTGAATACAACAGCTGTGAGTGCATTAAGAGACGCTGGGTCCATCTTAGAGGTCCTGGGCACCACCACTGATTCCTTGCCCCAGATATTTAGAGCAAAGCCCTTTCCAGTCTGCAAACCTAATGTAGCAGCCAGTCAACCTGCAGCAAACCAAACACCTGGACTATAAATCAGCCACCAACCTCTCAGTCAGGGTGGCTGGGATTTAATGTGAACAGTTGGCCCTGGTGCCTCTTGTGTCTGTGTCATTGTGTTTTGTTTGGTAAATTGTAGCTTCTGTTGGCAGCTTCTAACTTAATGTGGGAGTTAGTGGAGGCTTGGTGAAGACTAAAACTCCAGTTAGCAGCTGTCCAACTCAGCTTAGAAGTTACTCCTGTCCTGTGCTTTTTTGTAATGTGTGTTTTGAGGCACTTGTTTGTTTTAGTTTCTTTAGTTGGTTATAGGTGTTGTTATTGTAATTAAGATTGGCTAGGAAGTTTAGTTGTTTTATTTTTTAGATAATTCCCGTAACTCTGTTAGCCTTCATTTGGTTTTATTTGGTTCTTTGATTTAGCAGCATCCATCAGCCCTGTTTTCTTTGTATTGTCACCTATCCCAGTCGACACCCTTCAGCATAGACACTGCAGCGTTAGCTTTGTTTTGCATTATATTTCATTGTTTTAGAGACCTACCAATCTGGTGGGTGATAACACAGTATAAGTTAGCCAAATAATTCTGTCTTCCTTTTATTTTATACTTGTAAAAAAAGACAAAATTTAGTGTACCTAAAAGTACCAAGCTTTTATAATAAAAGTAATTGTTTTGTGCCACCAACAAACACCGCTGACCACAATGGGAATGGAACAGCTACTTAGAGCAGGACAAATGCATAAGAAGTATAATAAACATGCAGTGTGGATATTATTAACACACATTTTTCGAATTAACAGTACAATTCCTGACTTTCGGAAGATGAGTTTGATGTCTTCTGCCATATCTTTTTGTACAAAACAGTACAATCCAATCATTTGCTATGGATGCATCTATCAACTGGTTAAGGGTTTTCATGTTGCTTCTATGTTTTTTTAAATGTTTGTTTGCAGACATGTTTGTTAAGTAAAAGTACGGAGTGTTTGGTGGAGCCCTCTGTGCAGCTGATGAGGAAGTGTCTTCCTAAAACTCCTCTACCACTGACATCGGATAAGTCTGCATACACCTTTCCCCTGCCTGGAAGACCACATGCTGTTCCTGATGTGGACATAGGGTCAGGTAAAGTATCTGTATTTATTCCATGCCAAGACATTGAAGCATGTTTGATAGCAGTTTCAGCCCTGAGTCAGTGGTATTGTAAGTATGTTAAAAGTCAATGACAGTAATAATGACAACTTTTACACATAATGTATAAAATGCAGTACATATGTTTTGGGAATATTTACATTGGAAACAAATACAAATAATTAGGTTGAAACCATCTAGTCTGCTCTGTAATGCATACTGTGTTTTGGGCTTTGAACCCAGCACAAAGTCTACATTTTGATGACATCTTTTGTCTACAGGGGCCCTCAAATGAACTAATTTTATACCCTTTCCATGTGTCTGAAATCATTGTCATGTTTTCTAATTTTGTCTCTTTTCTTCATGTCCAGATGAGAGCAGTATAGAGAGTGATGCTGAAGAAGATGAAGATAACCAAGAGGACGACAACAGAGATTATGTAAGTGAAGTGTGTGTGTGTGTTTACAGTACTTTTGGTCCTCAAGAAGACCCTGGGGCCTGTATTACACAGCAAATTTAACATACAAAGGATAACCTTTAGTTATCTGGCTTAGGGTGACTAAAACAGTTCTGATACTAGGTGGCTAGATGCTAACATGAGGTCAAGAGATGTCATGGTAGATCAGAGAACCCAGATGCAGACAAGGACGGACAGTGACCATTTCAAATAAACAGAAATGTATTACAAAAGCAGAAACTCATTTATACAACCAGAGTGAAATAACTAAGGGGAATAACTGAATCCAAGCTAACCTAACAGAAGCAATCTCAAGGACTACAATGATTTTAAATGAGAGAATTACAAAAATATAGGCAGGTATAATAGGAAAAGACTGGGATTAACAGGCTGTAGGGTAAATGTTTGCTCAAATGGATTTTGTATACTTATGCAGAATTATTACACAATCGAATTGATATTTGACCAGTGAAATATTTAGATCAGATAAATATAATCATGCAGCATATGAAACACCTCTTACTGCAGACAAGAAGAGACTCAGGAATGATTTGGGAAATTATTTGAATTGAGGGTTATTTATAAAAGCTTGGTAGCTGGAATCAATACCAGTTAGGGACCAAAATGTAAACAATAAGACAGTCGAGGCAACTGGACTTAGTTTTACGTACATTTATTAACTAACAAGATCTATCAACTAATTGCACATAAACAACTATGGACAGTGACACAATAACCACATACAATAGCACAAGATGATGACATAAAACAAAACAAAAAGCAGTCAGTATCTGGTGTGACCACCACTTGCCTCACGCAGTGCAACACATCTCCTTTGCATAGAGTTGATCAGGTTGTTGATTGTGGCCTGTGAAATGTTGGTCCACTCCTCTTCAATGGCTGTGCAAAGTTGCTGGATATTGGCAGGAACTGGAACATGCTGTCGTATATACCGATCCAGAGCATCCCAAACATGCTCAATGGGTGACATGTCCGGTGAGTACGCTGGCCATCCAAGAACTGGTATGTTTTCAGCTTCCAGGAATTGTGGCAGATCCTTGCAACATGGGGTCATGCATTAGCATGCTGCAACATGAGGTGATGGTTGTGGATGAATGGAACAGCAATGGGCCTCAGGATCTCGTCACAGTATCTCTGTGCATTCAAAATGCCATTATTAAACTGCACCGGTGTTCATTGTCCATAACATACGCCTGCCCATCCATAACCCCACCGCCACCATGGGCCACTTGATTCACAACATTGACATCAGCAAACTGGTTACCCACATGACGCCATACATGTTGTCTGCCATCTGCCCTGTACAGTGAAAACCAAGATTAATCTGTGAAGAGAACACCTCTCCAAAGTGCCAGACGCCATCGAATGTGAGCATTTACCCACTCAAGTCGGTTATGACGACAAACTGCAGTCAGGTTGAAACCCCGGTGAGGACGACGGGCATAAAGATGAGCTTCCCTGAGACAATTTCTGACCGTTAATGCAGAAATTCTTCGGTTAGTTAAACCGATTGTTGCAGCAGCTGTCCTGGTGACTGGTCTCAGATGATCTTGGAGGTGAAGATGCTGGATGTGGAGGTCCTGGGCTGGTGTGGTTACACACTGCGACTGTGGTTGTGAGGCCAGTTGGATGTACTGCCAAATTCTCTGAAACGCCTTTGGAGATGGCTTATGGTAGAGAAATGAACATTCAGTTCATGGGCAACAGCTCTGGTGGACATTCCTGCAGTCAGCATACCAATTGCACGCTCCCTCAAAACTTGTAACATCTGTGGAATTGTGCTGTGTGATAAAACTGCACATTTTACAGTGGCTTTTTATTGTGGCCAGCCTAAGGCACACCTGTACAATAATCATGCTGTCTAATCAGCATCTTGATATGCCACACCTGTGATGGATTACCTCGGCAAAAGAGAAGTGCTCACTATCACAGATTTAGACAAATATGCAAACAGTATTTGAGAGTATTGTGTATATAGAAAAAGTCTCATATCTTTGAGTTCAGCTCATGAAGAATGGGAACAAAAACAAAAGTGTTGCATTTATATATTTGTTTAGTTTAGTTCCTTTAAATGATTGCACATAAAAAGTGAAGTCCAAAATGGTCCAGTGATTGTCCTTCTTTGTCCTTCTGTGAGTCGAGTATCAATTGGGGCCTGGTCAGTGTGAGTGGAATCCTTTTGAAGTTGTTTTCAATATTTCTGACCCCTATTTTCTGCTGGGTCAGAAGTCAGTCAGAGTCTGCTTTTTGTGGACTTTAGTTCTGCTTTTAACACCATCCTCCACTACAGACTGGTGACCAAACTCATGGACCTGAGACTACCCTTCTCCATCTGCCTCTGGATCAGAGACTTCCTGATGAATCGCTCCCAGAGAATGAGAGTAGGCCCCCACATGTCCTCAGCTCTCAGCCTCCCCACAGCTCTGTGTGCTGGGCCCCCACTCTACACCCTCAGCAACAGTATCATTAAGTTTGCAGATACACCACCGTAGTGGTGCTCATCTCTGGGGGGATAAGGGCTTTTATCAGGAGGAGGTGCAACAGCTATCTGTGTGGTGCACAGACAACAACCAGGTCCTTAACACCACCAAACCCGGAGACCTGATCATAGACTTCTGGAAGAATAAAACTGACTTTCATCCACTTCATATGACCCTGTGGAGAGGGTCTCTGACTTCCGATTACTGGGTGTGTGCATGGAGGATGACTTGACCTGGAGCACCAGCACAACGGCAATGGTGAAGAAGGCAAAGCAGAGACTTTACTTTACTTTATTTTTTCTGTGTGCACTTCGCCAGCTGCATAGAAGCCAAGAGGAAAGCACTCCAGAAGGTCGTCACCACCACCCAGAAGATTATCGGCTGCCCTCACTGGAAGAATTGTACAGTTACTGCTGAGTAAATAAGGCCAAGAGCATTTTAAAAGACACAACCCTTCAGTCAACCCAATGAAAACACAGACTAACAGTCTAAAAAACAGTGACAGAGGAGACAGCTTTGCTTTACTGTAACATTATTTCATAGTATTTACTCAAGTTAAACTCACTGTTTGTGTCGGGCATGATTGAAAGCTCTTGAAAACAATATGGTTAATCACTATGCAGATTTCCCCTGCTGCGGTAACTTATGACAGAATTTTAATAAATGATGTCTTTCACTGGGTTTAAAAAAAAACAAAGCATGGGTTTATATGATGAATCGATGTAATAACCAATTTCAAATGACAGACTGAAATAGGGGACGGAAGTATAAGAAACAGATGAATGAGCAGCAGAAATCTCAACTGAGGTTGATCTTTTTGGAGAGAAAGATTAACCTCAAAAAGTCTCTCTGGTCAATATGTCTTCCATAAAGTGTACAGGAATCTGTGCAGGCTCTGCACATCATATCCATGCAGTGAAGATATTGACTCAGCCTTGTTGTGCACCTCATTTGAGCAGCTGCACATGCAAACTCTAGTAATCCTTGACATTTCCAATGCTACTTAATCACAACACAACAGCCTGCCGCTACGCTCGGTCTGCTTACCAGAATATCTATGTTCTCGTGGGGTAATACTTGTGTGCTGCTGACATAAATGCCACTTTGCTTGGCTGCAAAGTCCCGCATGTGCTGCTGTTGGCTGGGACTGACAGGCCTGTAATCAGTGTATACCAGTGACCCAGCATATGTTGGTGTAGGCTAAAGAAAAAGTGCTGCTAATTCTGATTGCCAAGAATTACAACAACTCTCCCTCTAAAATATGTTAAAACAAAAAGTAATATTTATTACACCGACTCATTTAAAAGCACGTTTCAGGTGTTACCGTGCCATTTAATGTTATCATGACACATCATTCCAATACATTGGATCAGTGTTTTCCACCTTCTAGTCTGCTCAGCAAGCCGTTATCACTCCATTTAATGGAGCTTCTTTATCTCCTCATTTAATTGTGGTGGAACTACAATTTTGCATGTACAAAGAGAATAGTGGGGCAATGGTGAGGCTATAGACCATGAGCTCTTGAAATGACCAAGAGTGGTGTTTAAGGTAGATCTCTACTTGTTTCACTCTTGCATAAAAATGAGGACAAAAGACTAGTGGGAAGGAGTGCAAAGGTAAAACCAAATTGCATAATAACCTGAATAAACAATCAAATTAGTTGAAGAGATGAAACTGTGGGAATACCAGAGAGGAGAGGATATAGATCATATTTTGGAGACGATGCAGGTAAGGTAGTGAGGAGAGAGAAAGATAAAATAAACAAGACAAGACAGAGGAGGGCAATTAACAGGAAGATAGAATGTAGGTGGTATCTGTATGGAGAAAGTGTCTTGAGAATAATTAAGGGAAAGGAACGGTCCTGGCAGTGGATGTATGGACAGGTAGAGTAGATGAAAAACCTGAAAGAACATTTTAAGCTCACTTACAAATCTTACCATCTTTGTCCAGGAAGTAAAAGCAAGCAATTGATGAAGTGAGAATAGACGGAGTGGAGGAAAGAGAAAATAAAAGAGAAAGAGAATCAGATGGGCAAAAAATAAAACAAGATAAAGGATTAATTTATCATATAAAAACAATGGACAAATGAAAAACCATTTATGCTAATTGGACTGTTCTCACTAGATGTATGGTACTTGTAACATTCTAACGTCAAATTCTGGCACTGGTCTCCTTCAGAAGGAATGTTATATATCTGTGACTACTGATGCCGATAAATATCCAGTAAATATCCAAATAAAATTGACAACATGATATGTCGCATGATGCTGGCAAGTCAATGATGAATCTAAATACACAATATGGCGGACCAACGACTGAGTCCTGTTCTACAAGCTCTGGAACAGTGGGTGACGGTACTCACTTAAAATTTGTTAACTGTCGTGCTAGACGTGCTTGGAGAGGAATTCTTCATGTTCATCTGTTTTTGTGCTGTGAACAAATACAAAAAGTGCTTTTGTTGTGACATCTTCAGTTTTAAGTATTAGAAATGTGATGAAAGACAGTATTTGGTTTGTTTTTCATGACGTGTGCAGTCAGAGCAACTCCACTGTAGTTAGGCTCTTGTGGAGAATTCAGAAGCCATTTTAGAAGACTTAAACATGCTGTCCTTGTCTTAATTTTGTAAGTAAGTATGTCTGATGATAATATTTAGCAGTATGATTCCCTCCATTGGTTCTGATACCCATTTTGAATCGAAAATTGGCTATTGGTGCAAACACTGGAACATGCTTGTCATGAATCACTGTGTGTGTGTGTGTGTGTGTGTGTGTTTCTCTGTTCAGGATGATGATTTGGAGAGTGACCTGAACAAACTTCGTCTTCGTCCTGACCCAGACAGACCCAAAGAGCTGCTGCCACAGTACAGCCGTCTTTGTCCTGAACTCTCACATGACTTCCAGGTACACATCCGTTTGTGTGTTGTTTATGGAGTTATACAACTATCTGTGTGTCTGTGTGTTAATGTCATTCTGGCGCTTTTTGTAGAGATTCATTATTTACAAGGTCTCATGTGACTTTATCTGTGAACAAGCAAATTAAGAACATATTCCAGATTATTCCATATGTTAGTTCCAAAATATTTCAAAGTAAGAACACATTGAATGAGTGGCTGGAACCACTGCAAATCTGATGGTGCGCGGCCATTGTCGGTTGACTGTTTGACTGATCGCAAATGAGCTGGGCATGAACCGGGACATCTGCGCAAAGATGCTGCTGAAACTACTGAATGATGACCAGAAGGACTGAGCACGCAAGTGTGTCAGGACATCCTCGAGTGTCTTGAAACTGAACCAGACTTGCTTGAGAGAGTGATGAGTCATGGATCTTTGAGTATGACCCGGAGACACCAGAGCCTTCAGTGGAAGAGTCTAGCATCGCCAAGGCCGAAGAAAACAAGACAATCGAAGTCCAAAGTCAAAGTCATGTTGATTGCATTCTTCAATGTGAGGGGCATCGTCCACGACGAATTCCACTTCCAAGTTTGCGGATGACACATCTGTAGTGGGTCACATCAGCAACAATGATGAGACAAACTACAGGAGAGAGGTGAGCCACCTGGCCATGTGGTGCAGAGACAACAATCTATCTCAGAATGTGGATAAGATGAAAGAGATTGTTGTGGACTTTAGGACAGCGCACACCTAACATGCTGCTCTGACAATCGACGGTGCTGCTGAGGGTGAGCAGCACCAAGTTCCTGGGTGTGCATATCATGGAGAACCTCACTGGCCAGGAAGGCTTAACAACGTCTGTACTTCCTCCGCAACCTAAGAAGAGCCACAGCCCCAGTCTCCATCACGTGCACCTTTTACAGAGGCACCATCGAGAAACTATACTTACTGCTGACGTGTCTCTTCTGTAGCTCAGCGAAGCCGCTGACTAGTTTGCTGAGGCTAGCTACGTTAGCTACAGTTAGCCTGACCACTGACTTCATCTGTAGTTTACTGGGGGACTGAAGCTAAATGCGGCTCGTTTCCGGCAACTAATGTCGTCAAATAAGACCCATGTTAAGACAGTAAAAGCCAGAGCTCAACAATTATATATAGTAGTAACAAAGCTGAACCTTTATATGTATTGTAACAAAATGGGGGGACGTGTAACTGACAGTCATGTCGAGTGCTATTACATCATTTATCATTAACACCTACAGAAAATTTAGATTCAACAATTAACCTCAACATGTTGTTAGACTGTGGGAGGAAGACCGAGAACCCGGAGAGAACCCATACAACATGGGGAAAACATATGAACCAGGGATCTTCTAGGTGCCAGGCGACAGTGTTAATCGTCGAACCACCTTGCAGCCCCCAAAGACAACATGCAAAGTGAATAATTAAACAGGACTGATACATACAGTACACTAGATGGAGACAGCAGGTGATACAGGTGGTGGGAACACTGAGGCAACTGTGTGCAAGTGGAAGAGGCAGGGTCTAAAATGACAGAACACAATTGTTAGACTGGTTTGACAATGAAATGAAACATCTGCTCGATGTTCACGTTTGTTTAAAGTTGACTAAATGAAGCGTGAAACATAAAACTGGTGTTGTGGTAGACATGGAAGACATTTAGGTAAATCAAATAACTGTGTGTCAACTTTTGTGTCTTCCAGGAACTGGTTTTGAGTTCAGAGCCAGAGGAGAGTTCAACATCATCATCAGATGACGAAGCAGTGATGCCCGACACTTTCCCTCCTCGCTCCAACAGCAGGGACAGCATGAGGAGTACTCCCAACAGTGATTCTTCCACCTCTTTAGATGGCTCTTACACAGAGACAGAAATATCCATAAAGGGACACACACCAGGTCAGAGCTGGGAAAAATGCATTAACATCAGACAGTTACTAACAAATAAACAGATGTGAGCAAAAATGTACATATACTTGTCTTGAGTTTTCAGTGACTCCTATACCTCTAAATTTTCTATTGTTTAAGTATTGAAACCCGCGTGTCTTTGTCACAAAAGACAAACATGTAATTTGGTTCTATCTTAGATTTATTATAGGTCCTCCAGAAAATACAATAAAATCTACTGGATCAAACAACAATGACAATATTTGGGTAAACATCCCACTGACCTTTCTTACGACTGCTAGGAGCTTAAGGTAGCCGTCCACAAGCTTCTGGTTGTATTTTGACTACCCTGACAAAATTGGTACGGTTAAATAAAATTTGCTGGCTTTCTGATACAGACTTGGACTACATCACAGTCCAAAGGTTTTTGATAGGGTATAAGTTAGGACTTGAAGGAGACCAGTCTAAAACCTTAACTGGAGCCTGATTTAGCCATTTCATTACCATTTTGAATGTGTATTGGAACACCCAACTGCAGCAAACCTCAGCCCTAAGGTGCTGCTTGACAGCTGTGTCCCAGCAGCTTCTAATTCATTGCAGACCTGCTTTTTGGTGATTCTTGGTCGACTTGACGATCCTGAACAATTGTCTGTCAGCACCAGGTGATACCTTGTGTTTTCTTCCTGATAGTGGCAGTGACACAACTGTGCCAAGGACTTTATACTTACAAGCAATTGGTTGCACAGATGATTTTGGGATCTATATTGGGAATTTCTATAAATTGGCTCCAAGTGACTTTCTTGACTTGTCCAAACAAGTGATTTACTGTGGCCGATCTCTGTTGAGCTCCTCAGACTTTTCCACTGTAGTGTTTGTGGCTGAGTCTAATGAGTGTATTAAATGGGCCTTTCTTAAATTGGCTTAGACGAGTCAGCAAGCATAGTCAATGTTAATCACTTGTGAGAAAGTAAAAGACCATGTTAATAAGAAAATGTACTTACTACTGCTTTTTACATCACCAAATCTAATAATTCAAGTTGCCGTAGTTGTTTTTTTGACCCATTAAAACTGTCATATTTCCAGAAGACCAATAATAAATCTATGATGTGTTTCAATGATTTTATCGTAGAAAATTTACAATTTTAGGAGTCTTTGGAAATTCAAGATTGCCGTGATTTACGTGGTTTTTCCCCCCCCAAAAAAAACAAACAAAAAAAAACATGCTGTATGTAAAAGTGCAATTCGACTCTGTACAAAAACTCCTCAAAAATATATTCACCCCATACACAAAATAATTCAGCAAATTTTACGTACAGATATTATATACCTTCTGTTGTCAGTGGTGCAATGCAATGGTTTGCATGTTTTATATTTTATCAGAGGTGTGTAATGTAAAGTGGGAATTTTTACTCAGTCTTGCAATGCCTTGGTCTTGGTTTTGGCTTGTCTTAATCTTGGTACACTCTTGTTTTGGTCAGGATTGTTTTAGGTAAGCTTGACTACATTACTCTTCAGTGGGATACTTTCTATCTCTCACTCTCCAGCTGCTGCCCAGTTAGAGGCTCATGATTTCCACAGTCACAGCAGCGTCCTCAGCACCAGCCCCGGCTGTAGGACCATGATTAGAGAGGCAACGTAAGCTGGAAGCCTCCGTTTTATCTGCATGTATGTTTGGACAGACCTTAGTCAAACTAGTGGTAATTACGGAAAAATATGTATCTGAAAGAATTCATCGACAACATTTACCTTTATCACAAGTCTTTGTAATCATTTTAATTGATTTTTAGTCTGTTTGTGATCGTTTTGCATGTCTGTGGATATTTTATGTCTCTGTAGATATTTAAATGCCTTTGTGATGTTTTCAGTATTACATGTGCTATTGTGTCTGCATCTCACAAAAGAAAAAAGCTGCCTTTTCAGCCTTTCATCATGAAAACTGATGACAAAGCTTTGTATTTGGTCATAATGTAGAGAAAAATAAGAAAAAGAAAATGGTATCATATATAAATGCACAGTGGTTTGAAACATCTGCAGAAATCTGTGTGTGCATTGGCAGTCTTTGAAGAAATATCATTGAATAGCATGTTGTGGGCTCAGTGTGTTGTATGGCCACTTTATGAAGAGTGTGTATGTCACACAACCATCTATACTTTGACTTTTCTTCCTGCTCCAGCAGTAACGTCACATTATTTCCATGAGACTGACGCTTGCTTGGTTTCTGTTGTTTGGGGTCTGACCTCTGTCTTTAAACCTTGCTATTTGCCTGATTTCTGTTTCATGCAGTGTAAATGTGTTGTTTCCTGTTTCTAGGGAAGAAACTCCCTCAGTTCAGAAAAGGGATGAGCAGGATGATGATGAAGAGGGAGCAGAGGAAGGACACCACCGCACCATGATAGACAGGTTATTGGAGAGACATGGATCGTGTATCCCCCACCATGAACCCAAACTATACCGTGCTGCAGCTGCCAAAACCAAATCTATTCCAGGATTCAGCATCCTGGCTTTCCCTGATTTCTGGGGTCATCTCCCACCACCAGGACATGAGCCCATGGCCCCACGCAAACCCAACATACAAAGGTATTACAAACAGTGATGTAGCTCATATGCCATGGAGATAGGTTGCACAATTTGTAAATCATACATAATATTTCTTTCACAGAGGACATGTAAAGAGCTGAGTAAAATTTACCAGTAGTTGTCCAACCAGCATGGTGGTGCACTCTGAACAAACACATATGCTCATATTGGTAGATGAGAACCTGTATGTGTCCTTATATATTATCACTGCAGCAACAGTTAGATGGGTGTAACTGAAGACACAACTATATGTCCCATGAAAGTCTAGATGTAAAGAAATGTCCTCATTACTGTCCTGTCTTTCTTAATTACTCTAAAACTGAAATAACCATAATCATGCCCTTTGCCTCTAGAAATAATACCTTTTACTTCATATGTGATTTGGGCCCAAAAGCGTTTATGCATTCATCAACTCCAGACATCATTACTACAATGTTTTTTTTACTCTTTCATAAGCTTTGATTAATTACAAATGTTACTGCTCAGATTAACTTGGTCAGTTTTGTGCTATTAAATAAAGTCATTATTACACTGGTTGAATTGGTGAATGATCCCATGATGCCCTGCAGTTGGAGCAGAAGCCAAGTCAAGACCAGACTTCTCAAGTGACAAGTTGTTGGAGGTCACTTTGTGTCAGACTAGGTGCAGTAATCCTTCACTTACAGTGTACAACAGAAGGGAGTGCAGCACCAGATGTCAGATGATTACGAATTCAACTTTTATTGTAAACGTAACATCCAATTTATTTAAAAGGTCTTGGTTTAAAAGGCTGATTCTTTATCTGCAGTGGTAATAATTGTACACCTGGTCATGCTTGTCTTTATCAGGCAGAAGGTACTAGAAGATGTCCAGCGTTTCCTGAATACCAGTGACACCATTAACCGCTTAGTCTTTGACCTAGAAGACAGCAGGTATGTAACAACAGACACGGTATGCAAGCACAACACAGTAATTTTACAAAGCTATCAATTGACAAAATTGAATTTAAATTATCATTCAAAATTCATTGTTAGAATTTACATTTACTATTCATGTTCAAATGGTAAAGATTTAATCTTCCTGAAATTCCAGATGTCAATCTCTTTGTTTCTTTTATGTCAGTGTTCAGTGCCAATCGGATTCTTTGAGGTTCTTTTCCAAGTTTGAATGTGGGAACCTGAGAAAGGCTATTCAGGTCCGCAGGTATGGAGACACACACACACATGCATGAACACACACACACACACACACACACACACACACACACACACAAAAGTTCACACTGATGCAACCTCTTGCACACATTTTTAGCAAAGACAAACAAGTCAGTGTAGCAGAAGTAAATCTGTTTTAAAGTGAAAAAGTAGATGTAATATTCTTGCTTCTTCACAGTCTGTATTTAGAACATTAGCTGTAGGTAAGTCAGTGAGTCATAATCGGACACTGAACAAACAACAGTTATGGTGTCTTCTCTTTTAGGTGTGAATATGACCTCATATTGAATGCAGATGCTAACTGTTCCCAGCACACCCAGTGGTTTTACTTTGAAGTCAGTAACATGGTAGCGGACGTCCCCTATCGTTTCAATGTCATCAACTGTGAGAAGAGCAACAGCCAGTTCAACTATGGTGAGAAGGGTGGTGTGTGTGTTTTCACATGAATCAATTAACTCATTTAATATGTAAAATGAGTTGTAATTTAACTCAGATGATAAGGATTTAAAATTGTTTGGGGCAATGTGCGATGGAATTGTAGTCCATCACGCATTGTACGAGATTCATTTATGTAACTAGGTGCTTATTTTCCCCACAGCTACTTAAAAACATGAATAAATTCTAATATATAAAAATTAACTCTGATTAGGGAAATATCTATAGAGACCAAAACATTTTCTTTAGTTCAGACTTCTGCAACACAGCAGTAGAAACACTGGTAAATGCTTCAGTTATTGGTGACTTGTGCAATGGCCTTGGAGTAGGCTTCCAGTGTTGTTTTCCACAGCCACATTATGTTTTTTAAGTTCCTGAAGTTATTCTGCCTAGTCTTAAAGCTTTGAGTGATTACTCCGTGGAGCAGTAGCTGGCACTTGGACCCTTTAGTATTGTTTCCGATGCATTTCTGCTGAGCCATGTGCCTTCTCAACCTAACTGCTATGATGGGTGTGAAAAGTTTCCATGTTGAGGAGAAGCAGGTTATTGGATGGCAGTTTTAAGGTGTTGTACCCTTGTGGAGACCTTTCATGATCAGGATTGTACTTTAGACTTAGACATTTATTGTCCCCAGGGGGAAATTCTTTTCCACAAACCAGCCCTTGACTTCCATCTCATAACATGACAATACAAACTACACAGAATCCCACATAAGGGTACACAAACAGAATAACATTTCAACACAATGTACAACATGAAATAGTATGAAAGACATGACAATGTAGTACAACGTAGTACGGGGATGCTCAGCGGGGAATTTTATTTAAGGCAGCTATGACTGCAGGCACCAAGCTTTTAGGTCCGTGCTGTCGCAGCAGAGCATGCGCCATTTTCTATTTCTACTTTCCTGTCTTAGCCAGTCTGGGAGAGTGCCTGTTGTTAGCAGATGATTCATTTTTGCTGCAGGCAATCATGTTGCCTCTTCAGCCAGTAGGAGCTGACCATGTAAGGTCCCAGTACTGTTCAGCTCTGCATACCTGAGACTTACTGTTGATATCTGCCTTGGTGATGATGACTCCTTCTTCTGAAGGGTTGCTGTGGTCTGCTTTTAGGTTGACAGCCATTTGGCATTGGTGTTGTGTGCTGCCTCCCAATAATGGAAGAACATATAGGACAGTGTCAGCCTTTGGTGTGTCTGTCCCTGTGGTGTTATTTGGATTTTGTCTATATTTATATATACAGTTGTGATGGCAATACAAATGCCTTAAGTTTTTATTTTTATATTACATAAAGAATACTGAGACAGTGTCACCAGGAGTCGGAGACCCAAGAGCAGACAGAGATGACACAATAGACCAAGTGTTAAATAATAAAGATATTACAGAGAGTATAATTGTTCAACAAAATAAGGGAAGGGAAATGAGAGCAGCAATGACTAGTAACAGGGGTACAAGCTAAACTAAGCTCAAAGCTGATTACTAGCGAACAGGCTGAGGAATTAAACATAATGCAATAAAGCTACGGAAGCTGAACAAAGACAAAAGATAATTGTTGGCAGAAATATAGCAAACAGTACAAACTAATCTAACATCTAGCAAGCTATAAATTAATTAGGTGAAGACTAGCCAGGACCAGGTAACACCAGTCTAAGAAAGCAGGGAACAGGATCAAATGTAACATTAGAAAATGCATGCAAAGCACAACACACAGTCTATACAACTTGGCCACTAACAAGCACTCACAACATGGGCATGGCAGGCCACCTGGTGTCTGATTCAGATAGTCTGGGTGCAGGCAGTTGAAGTCCGGGTTGAGAGGGGGGTCCAGGATTTGGTACTGGTGCATCTACCACCGTACCTCTGGTCCATATCCTTCCTAATCAAAAAGGTACTGGAGACCATGCCCCTGGCAATGCACATCCAGGAGCAGTCTTAAAGTACAGGCAGGTGTGTTCTCCACCGTCCTGGGTAGTAAAGGGGAAGGACAGAGGGTGCCCAGAGGACTTTCTCAAATGGGCTTCATTTGGGGCACATAGAATGTCGGATGTATGCGCATGGTGGAGGGCAGCTTGAGGCACGCTGCACTGCTGTTGATGATGTGGTCAATCTTAAAGGGATCTATGAAGGAAGCATGGAGCGAGTTTCCTTGACTCCACACTGAATGAAAGATTCTTGGCTTAAAGCCATACTATTTGTCCAGGGACATAGCTGGGAGCTGGACAATGATGATGGTTGGCCTGGAATTGCATCCACTGCTTGGGCCCGTCTCCATGCTGTCTCACATCTCTGGAGGAAACCTGGACAGAGGGAAGGGAGAGTTCCTGTTCCTGGACGGGAAACAGAGGAGGCTGTTATCCCAAGGAACATTGAAAGGGGGCAAGAGGAGGCATTAGTCAATGACTTGTGTGCATACTTCACCCATGACTGTTGAGAATACCAGGTGGACTGGTTTTCAGAAGTGACACAACACAGCAAGGTCTCCAACTTCTGGTTAGCCCGCTCCATCTGGCCATTAGATTGGGGATGGAAACAGGAGGTTAAACTGACTGTGGCTCCAGCATGGTACAGAAGGTCTTCCATACCTTAGAGGTGAATTGAGATCATTATTCTGAAACAATATCTGTATAATCTGAAGACTTGATTGATCATAATGTTGGCGGTTTCTTTGGCTGTGGGTAGTTTGTGGGCATAGACAATAAAGTGAGCAGGCTTAAAGAAATAGACAATAATGGTGAGAAAGGTGGTGTTGTCGTTTGAGGATGGCAGCCCAGTGATGAAATCCAAGGCTATGTGAGACCATGGTTGTTTTGGGATATGGAGAGGCAGGAGGAGACCAGAGTTGGACTGATTGGAGGTCTTATTATGGGCACATACGGAGCAGGCAGCTATAAACTCCCGGGTGTCTATTTCCATGGTGGAACATTGAGAACCTTGGTCAGAGGACTCCCAGAGCCGTGAAGGTTTCAGGGTGACAAGTTGAATGAGAAGAATGGCCCCACAGAAGGACCTGTGATTGGACAGAATCTGGCACAGAGAATTAGGAGGTCCGTTACCTGGATCTAGTTGAAGAAACTGGGATTGATGAACCTTAGACTCAGTTTCCCAGGTGAGAGACAATACAAAACAGGTTTGGAGCAGGATAGACTCAGGCTCAGGAATGTTCTACGGAAAACTGCCTGGATAGGGTGTCAAGCTTTATGTTGCACTGGCCAGGTTGAGTGGTCAGGCAAAACTTGGAACTTCCAAAAAACAGAGTCCAGCGGGTTTGCTGAGAGTTCAAACTTTTAGCCATTTGGATGTACTCAAAGTTTTTGGAATCAGCCCATATGATGAATGGCTGATCTGCAACCTCCAACCAGTGACCCCATTCCTCCATGGCAAGTTTGACAGCCAACAGCTCCCGATTACCGATGTCGTAGTTCCTCTCGGCAAGGGATAACCTCTGAGAGAAGAAGGCACAGGGGTGGAGCTTGTTGTCTGAGCACGTCGTTGATGAGGTTTTGAAATACTGTTGATGAGGCCAAAGAGCATGGCCACATATTGTGGTTTGGACAGGTTGTATAATCAACTACTCTGCAGGGAGGCTCCCAAGGGAAGGTGGACTGCGCAATCATAAGGTCTGTGTGGGGTTAGTGTGAGGGCATAGTCCTTACTGAAGACTTGTGACAGGTCATGATGTTCTTGAGGTATGTGCGTCAGGTCGATGGTCTCCGGTGGACAGGGGGTAATGGTAGTTGCAGGAGTCAGAGCAGAACAGAGACAGTTCATGTGACAGTGGGGGCTCCAGGAAATTACTTTTTCTTGAGTCGATATGTGGATTGTGCTTCTTGAGCCAGGGGCATCCAAGGATCAATAGGGACTAAGTGGTAAATGAGGTGGAGAGGGATGGTCTCATGGTGGTTGCCAGCCAGGACGAGGGAAATTTGAAAGGTCTTGCTGCTAACTTGGGCCACCGGAAATTCATTTAGTGCACAGGCCTCTAGGGGGGATGACAGGAACTCAGTTGCAATCAGCATATGTTTGGCTAGGTTGCTATCAATGAAGTTCTCTTTGGCTCCAAGGTCAATCAGGGTGGCCAAGGGTACAGATTGTGTCTTCCAGCAGAGAGAGGCAGAAAGCTGCAAATGTTGAGGGGGAATTATTGAGGTTCGGCTCACCAGTGTTTCCCAAGCTAAAGGTAAGCCGGACCTTAAGCTGGTCGAGTAGGGTAGGTGGCAATGAAGTGACACAGCTTTCTGCAGTAGAGGCAGGCATTTGTGTCTCTGCTGTGTTTTTTTTTTTGTTTTTGTTTTTTTTTCCGGGGAGTTAGTTGGACCTGTCCTACTTGCATGGGTTCTGGTTTCATATCGGATGGATGAGATGTGGCAGGTACAGGGTGTGTAGAGGGTCTGGTACACCAGTAGTGGGGTGGTCTACAAAAGGTTCATTCTCTGCAACGTTCTCTCAGGCAGTTGTTCAGTCTAATGGTCAGGGAGATGAGTTGATATAGACTGGAAGAATCCTCTCTGGATGTTAATTTATCCTTGATAGAGTCATTTACTCCTTTTCAGAAAACCCCTTAAAGACCTTTGTCATTCCATCCACTTTCAGCTGCCAAGGTGCAGAACTCAATGGCGAACTCTGCCATGCTGCAGGTTCCCTGATGAAGGAACAGGAATCCATTTCCAGCATCCCTTTCTTTGACCAGGTGGTCAAACACCTTCTTTATTTCTTGTAGAAGGCTTCATAAGAGCTGCAAACCACACACCGACTCTCCAACACTGCAGCGCCCCACTCTCTAGCAGAACCCTTTGGTAAACTAGTTAGTAAGCAAAACTTTTGGTTCTTTTAACCCCGAGGCAGAAACAGGAATGGAGGCAGTTGCTGACTGACTAGAGGGAGGATTAGTATGCTGAACTGTGACTTCCAGTGGGGGAGAGGAAAGTTGAGAGACTTGTGAGGTAAGACTAGACAGCATATCAGTTAACTGAGTGACTTGATTTAACAAGGAGTGATTATTTTTTGCCAGGTTGAGGAGTAATTGCTCACGCTGGCTTAACAAAGTTCCCTGACAAGAAATAGCATGCTGTATGTTAGCAACAGGGGGTCCTAGGTCAGCGCTGGCCTCACTGTCTACTGAGTTCAACATGGCCAGACCGTACTTTCACAGGGAGTCAGAGATCGAAGCGCAGACAGAGATGACACAGCAGACCAAGTGTTAAACAATAAGGATGCTTAGTACAGAGAATGACAGACAGTGAGTCCCAGTTGATTGGAAACTGACTGATATGTGACATGTTTCATGTGACTGACTCTGTGTGTATGTGTGTATGTGTGTGTCTTTGTGTGTGTGTGTGCGTGCATGCTTGCGTGTGTGTGTGTGTGTGTGTGTTCTGAAGGAATGCAGCCGGTGCTGTACTCAGTAAGGGAAGCTCTGGAGGGTAAACCACGCTGGGTCAGGACTGGAACGGATATTTGTTATTACAGGTATGAGTGAAATAGACAGATAACATGAAGAATGAAGATATGTTTAAAAGAGATGCTAGTCATCCAGTCAAATTGTATGTGAATTTCCCACGCTGCTCAGTGCAACTTATTCCTTGAAAATATACAATTTCATAACAAGTTAAAGTACAGGACAGCAACTTGATCCCTTCAGTAAGCATTATTGTGTCAATGTTTTTTTCTTACAACTGTCTTCTTGAATGTCTTGTATGGATTTGTTGTAACTGAATGATATAAGATACAGCACAACATTGATCCACCTCAAACCTCAACCAAAAAAAGTTAATTGACCGACAGTTTACAAAGACTCTTCCTCTGACTGAATGAAAGCAATGTTTCATCAGAAAAACACTGCAGCAGTCAGTTCTCAGTGACAGAGACCTTTCAGACATTACAGGAGATATATCTATTATCTACACATAACACACAGTATCACTTAAATTTAGAATAATTCAAGTTAAGGAATTAAGTTGTATTACCTCTCAATAGCTGCATTCTTTAGAGGCGAACATGCAGAGTATTTACTGGTATGATAAGTTAAATGCAAAAAATACAGGCTACAAAATGACGTGACTTGGAAAACCTGTGTGTTTCAAACTAGTCTAATTGAATGAAAGTGGTGACCAAATGATCTGAGAAGACCAGAACTTTCTTACTTTTGGACCTATGGACTGTATCTATCTGTATGTCTGCATCATGACTCCATAAAACTTCAAAAACCTGATAGTGAGACTTCTCAAAGACAAAATAGGATATAAGAAGATCAGTGACCAACTAAAAATCAGAGGAAACAGTGGAGTCACCATGGGCATCTATAGTTTACTACTTGTTTAATTTAGCTCTAAAAACAGCGGGGCATGTGCTTCAAGCTTGGCACAGGGTTTATCTATGGAACTCTAGTGACTGGTCAGCTCAGACAGTGTGAAGGACATTATGAATGAGGTGCAAACGATGGTTGGGTGACTACAGTTAAAACTGGCACCACGAATGGGCTGTAGATAAACGAAAATACTGGCTGACAAGACGACGCCCATGCTGCAGAAACTTGACAAAAGAGGACTATCCAATCATGATAACAATTCCACATGAGTTTTCAGGTAAATTACGACATGTCCAAGTATGTAATCTAATAGAACACATTTGGGGTATTTTACAGAAAGCAACAAAACTCCTTCAGGAATAAGCAACTGAATAAATGAAATAAATAAAAATAGGGCCAATACCCTACTGTTCAGCTTAGAAGCAATGCAATTATTGTAAGGTCAGTTCACATGTAAGTGGTATTGCACAGGGCTGTGCTCACTTCTGTTGTATTCTGTTCCTTAGTTTTTCTTTCCCTCTTTTTCTTTTCCAGAAACTATTTTTGTCCAGCTCAAGGCAGAAGGAAAACAACCTTTTACACGCTGACCTTCACCATCACCTTCAAACACAATGAGGATGTCTGCTACCTGGCCTACCATTATCCCTATACATACTCCGCTCTGAAGGTATTCAACTTGAAACACATTTTGCAGATAATCCTGTACTTTTACTCGACTAGGATTTTGAATGAACTTTTATTAAAATACCAGTACGAATGCTAAGTAGTTGGCAGTATCTGGCCATTAATGTCTCTGTAGTTTGTCAGGAGTTTTATTGTATTACGTAGTGGAAGTACAGCATATTTCCCTGTATTTGGTAAAGCAAACTAGTTTTAGATTAATACAATCTTTCTGAGACAGATTTGACAAAGAAACCTGGTGATGATGTTTTCACACTTGACACTGCACTGTGACTGCATGTATGCGTACAAGCTTCAGAACCTTTGGGGTTAATACATGCACTTATATATGTATTGTGTTTACCAGGCTCATTTAAAGGTGCTGCAGAAGTCAGTGGATCCTGCCACGGTTTTTTTCCGGCAGCAGATTCTTTGTGGCACTTTGGCTGGAAACCCCTGTCCACTGGTCACCATCACTGCCTGCCCTGCAAGCAAGGGCTGGAAAGACCTGCATCAGCTGCGTGAGTACTACTGTGCATGCATGCATGCGTGTGATGAGCCAGGATAAAGTGTCAGAGTGGTGGTGATCATACATACAAATAGGGAGACAAACGTTTGAGAGCAAGTCAATGGAATGTGTGTGTGTGTAGTGTACTGGTGTGTATGTGAGTCGAAAAAAAGGAGACATCAGGCCATTCATCCTGACCGAGATAGATATTCAATGCTTTGTTTATATTTCAGTCTTTAATTGAAAGTCAGTGATCCTTAGCCTTTGGAAATAAGAAATAATTTGTTTGGGAGAAAATCATATGAGATTCATCATAGCGTATCCCCATTAGCATAATATTGTCCCCTCCTCGTACACACCATGCATCTATACTTAGCGATGAGCCAGTTATCTTTTGTCTCATTTTTCTGCAAATGCTCCACCACAATCAGCATTTCAGGAAAGAAAATAACTGCTTGATCTCACAACACTTATTTATTTTATTATACAACAGTCAAATGGCCAAGTATGAGCTTGTGTAATGATTCAACGTCTCAGAGGAAAGCAGTATTATTGTCACATGAACAGCTGTTTTTGCTCTGAATAATCATTTTTAACATTACAGTAAATGTGTGCATGTGAGAAAATGTATTTGTTGATTCTTGGAAAACCCTTCCTATACAGATCCATGGTCTGCTATTTTGAGGCTTCTTGCAGAGTAAATGGTCAGCTTTGCCATATGTTGCAGATTATGTTGAACTTAAATAACTTATTTCTGTCCCGTAATCGTGGACATTTCCATGATCACAATCATACATTTCTTTTTTTTTTTTATATATATATTTTTGGGGATTTTTGCCTTTTTTTAGAGCAGTAGAAATAGACAGAAAAGGAGGGAGAAGAACAGGAAGAGACCTGCAGCAAATGGTCATGAGTGGGAGTCGAACCCACGGCTGCGTCAGGGACTATGGCCCCTGTTCATGGGACGCAGTCTGAGCCGGTTGAGCTACCGGGGCGCCCCAGTCATACATTTCTTTACTTGAACTTGTAGCTATTGCAGCTTGAAGGAGTCAAATCCTGAACAGTGAGAGGCCCATCAGAAGAAAAAAATGCTGCTGTAAAATCTCAATACTCCCATGAAAGTGGAATTATTAACTGAACTTCAACTGAACAAGAGAGGGCAACAAGTGCATCTCTGCAGGCTGTCTGGGTACTCTCCAAGCATAACAAGCCATTTACAAATGCTGAGGGTTTTAAGTAGTGCATGGTGGCTGTTCTGGAGGAACTTGTTTCCCCTGGATGGCACTACCACTGGTGCTATTATCTTTGGTAAACTGGAGGAGCTATTTCAAAAGCATTGATTGTCATTTGAAAAAGTCAACCTTGTTGTTACAGATGGTGCTCCTGCCATGATTGCCAGAAACAGGGGACTGATGAGCAGAAATAGGACTGTTGCTCCCAACATTAACACACTTCACTGTCTCATTCACCAAAGCAAGCTGACAAGCTTTCATTTAATGTACACATTACAACTTCAGTCAGGAAGCTTAAAGTGAAGATTGGCTTTTGTTTTAGAAACAAGTCTTGCTTTACTGTCAGTACAAAGAGAAAACTTGTGGAAGCTACTTTCTTGTCTGTGATTAATGATGGTGACATATTGTATATGCATGCAGCGTCCTCCATCTCACGTAATCTTGATTCAGTGCATCATGCATCTTCACGATTACGAATGAATGACCACTATAGATAAAATGAGCATGAGAAACAATAAAAGAAACGTTAAATGAGAGCGAGTGTATCATCATTGTTCATTGAAGCCAGGTATGGCACAAGTTACTTTTTAGAGGGCGTTTGTTTCATTTGATTTAAAAGAAATAAAATCATATCAGCCCAGGTGGGAGCTGATCTATCCCCCTCCCCCCCCCAAAAAAAACAAAACAAAAAACAAACCTTCTTCCTCTTCACTAGGCTATTCCTGAAATCAGTAATATTCTGGGAACTGGATGGAGGAAAGTCAGTTGACATTCATTGCCATAAGAAGAACATCGTAGCAACAGTGAAGCATTGGTGATGGTAGTGTGATGGTTTGGGGCTGCTTTCCTTTCACAGGACCTGGACGACTTGTCATAATTGATGGAGTCATGAATTCTGCTCTCCATCAGAAAATCCTCCTGGAAAATATCCACCCATCAATTCATGATCTAAAGTTCTTGCACAAATTGATTATGAAGCATGGCAATGACCCAGATCAAACCTCTGAATGGCTCAAAAATAACAAAATTAAGTCTGGACTTGAACCCTTTTGACATACTCTGGCAAGACCTTAAAAAAGGCACTGCATGCTTGAAAACATCTAATGTAAAACTATTCGGCAGAGCAGAATCAGCAAAAGTTCCTTCATGGTGATGTAAAAGTCTGATCACAAGCTATTGTAAACGTTAAATTGCAGTTGTTGTTGCCAACAGTGGCCCAATGAGTTATTAAGTTTAGGGGAACAATGACTTTTTCCACATAGGTAATATAGGTTTAATAGATCTTAAATGAATCATTTAAAAAAAATTGTGGGTTTTTCTCATATCAAATATACCTATATATATTGGTTTGATCTGGAACATTTAATTGTGAGAAATGTGCAAAAATAGAAGACATCAGGATGGGGCTAACAGTTTTTCACAGCACTGTGTTTCATGACAGTCGGTTTTCTTGGTTCTTGATTGAAGTTCCTCCAAGACTCTTTCATTAGCTTTGAAAGAAGTGATGTCAGTGTGAGACAAACACTATGCTCAACTTGGAGTCATGTCAGAAGATAAATTAGTATTTCGCTCACACGATTTAATCAGTCTGCTTGGGGGAGAACATTAGCATTTTACAATGAGTTTTGTTTGGAGAGCTGCTAAACGAAATGTGGGCACAGCATGTGTGCGGTGAGGCAGAAATGGCTTCTCATGCAGCTAAATTTGCCAGGTGTGGATAGTGAAGGTAATCAGAGGTGAACCAGGTCCAGAGTATGGAGTGAGCCGTGCCTTTCACAGGAGGCAGATGATACAGGGAGTGACGGGGAGAACATGGGTTATTCAGAGGTCCAGCATTAAGTGGGGTTCTGAGCCCATCTTATATGGCAGAAGGTGATTGATTGCAGGTGAGCCACTCCTTACTCAGCTGATTATCCAATGAACAGGTAACACACACATACCAGCTCACACACCTCACTCACATCCACATGAAAGGAAAAGTAAAGGAGGTAGAAGGACAGGCAGAGGAAAGGCTGCTTCTCAACAGAGGTGGATGGCATGACAGAAGGTGCTGTTTTACTGTGGTAGTGGTGAAACTCCCAGCTATGATTTCTTTGTTTGCTTGTAGTACTAGTTTGTATTAAAAACCTTTCAGTGTATGCAAATAAGTAGTAGTTCTAATTACAGGCAGTGGGTGGAGAGCAGCAAGTGTCTTTATCCTTAAGAGGCCACCTTACTGGATCAAAAACTTGTGACTTCATTTAATTTTAGTGAAAACCATTTTTGAATTTGAGTTTTGTTCAAGGTCATTGACATATATAAACATGTAAGAGTCTGAGTTCCCAATCTGTGGTAACAGTACTTTATGATGACACTGGCATTTTTGATGTTTATGGATATAAGTCGTTCTTCAGTAGGAATGGACAAAGTAGGCTACTTCCAACCTCACTCATCTTGTCTCAAATCAAATGGCTTTGAGAGTAAACACAGCTGCTTTAGGAAAAGCTGCTAATTATAAAACACTGTCTTTCTCTGTAGCACTGCTCTCTCATTCTTTTTGTCTGGAGTTAGTTTTTCATTTCACTTTGTTTTTTTTTTCTCACTTTCTCTATCCTGTATTTATCTGTCAATTTGACAATTAGCTACAACATAGTGAATTAAAGAAATGTCTCGGTGATGTAATTTGTACCTACTGAATGAAAGCACAGATTAATAATCAGTATCAGAAATGTGCATCTCCAGTAGGTAGCCATCTGCCATTGGGAACAGATAATACATGAGACACTGTCCTATTGAAGTATTAATGCATCCTTGACTGTATGAGGATACAGCACAGGATGGGGGATATATTTCAACACAGAACTTGTGCTTTGGTCACATGTTTACATTATGCAGTTTATTTGCACAATTATTATTTTCTTTATTGAGACTTCTAGTGGCTCCATGGCTCTTACTGTTGATGTTTTGTGCAGACAGTGGTTGCTAGGTCACATAGCACACATTGCACATGCGAAGGTGGAAGTGACCGTTCCTGTAATAACAATCTGTTGACATTATTGCTGGATCATTATGTGACTGTTGCTCAGCTGTTGTCTCCCTTTACACAGGGTGGGACATACCTTCATGTCATGCCAGCTCATCACAGGCTGTGCCAGTTTGTTCTGTCCTGACAAGGCTTCAGCGTGTGATGAGCTTTCTAAGGTCCAAATGTTCACAGAGACCTGCTGAAAGACATGACGTCTATTAGACCTTTAATTCACACTGTTGCTGCAGTGCATAGATTCACTGACAGTATAATCCTGTGCAGTACCAGATGACATTTAATTCATATGTTCCAGTATTTCAGTGTCAGCAGTGTAAATCATTACAAAAATGCCAGAATGGTAGAACAGATGAATGATTGTCTGATGTTTCCCATGCTTAGAACTTTGGGAAAGTGGCACATTAGTTACATGCAATTTAATAACCTAGAATGAACCTTCAAGTCACATGCTTGTCCAATGTCCATACTTCACTAACTAGCAGATTTTGAGTCTGTAATCTGTTAGTGTTGGAAAGGTGTCAGAATAAAAGAACAAATTATTCAGTATACAGAGTTAAAAATGTATAAACAAACAACACACAAACAAATAACAGATTTTTCAGTGTGATCTATGTGGATATCCCCCCCAAAAATACAAACTACTCACAGCTGTAAAACAAATAAATAAAATAAAATGCAGATGGTGATGAAAAAGCATCTATGTGTCCCAAAGTAGTAACTGTGCTCTTTCTGTTTGGTGTGATGTTCTAAAGTCACAGT